CTGTAATAATAATTTGATAATAATAATAGTTATTATTATTTTCTTATAGTTCTACCACTTGCAGATAATCATCAATAACACTTTGTATATTGCCTCATTTTCTATGCAAGCACACTTAAAAATACAAGGTTATAATTTATATTGTGTCCTGACATTGTTACTTTTTAGGTTACTCTCATTTTCCATTTCATTAAATAGTAAAAAAAAATTATCTATAAATAAACAGGTATATAGATAGGTAGGCAGGTAGGCAGGTAGACAGATTCCATTACCGGCTGCAACACTGTCTGTCCTATAGTTGCATTATATGAGCATTCTGATCTATCTTCTCCCACAGCCAACAGAGGGATTACTTTAGTCTAGGTCACCTTTAACATAATATGGTACCACTCATATATGACTCATGTACATGTTTTTGAATCTTTAATGATATGACATACCAAATATGATATTCCTTTGTTAAGTACTAAGACTGAACAAATCTTTAGGTCTGTATGAAGTTTAATAGTGTCCTGCCCATGGGTCATTCACATTTCTACAGACTTTAATCTTCGGCATAAATTTTTGTTGCTACTATTAATGGTCTCTTTTTTCCTATTTTTGAACTGATTACTACTGGTATATAAATCATGATATTTACATTATAATGGAATTTTATTATATTAGTTTGGGTATCTTGGACATTTTTTATTATCTACAAATATTTTGTCTTTTCCAATAGTTCTATCTTTCTGTTCTTAATACATTGGCTAGATATTTCAGAGTTACTTTAGTAGTGATGACAGCAGGTATGCTGCTAATTCTAATAGGAGATAAAATTCTAGTGTTTCACCATTATTAGTATTTTGGCTATTTGACAGCTTGATTCCTAATTTGTTTAAAAAATTGCAGATACTTCCCATAAAATATTTATAGTAAGTATCTCTAAAACTGTGAGATAATAGGTGATTACATTTTTCTTCACAGTTCCCCAGTAAATGGACTATCTAGGTTTTCTACATTTACCTTGTACTTTTTAAAATTCAAATTTTATGTTTTTTTAAAAAATTACCCATTTAAGATTCTCAAATACATGTGGAAAAGTTTTGACAAGAATTTTACCATTTTTATCTATAGATAGCTATGGTTATATCCAGTAACTGCTAATTTTGTATATTATTTTTATTAGACTAGTCACAAACTCTTCCAATTTATTTTTCAAGTTTCCTAAAATGAAAGGACACACACACCTTTATCTTCTGATTTCTCCTAATGTTCCTTGCTGAAGGAGAATGTTTTGAACTCCAAATTCCCTTGATTAGTAATCATTATCCTGCAAAAATCAAGAGTGAAGCAAACCCTAAAAAAACTTTGTCTTTAGAAACAACATTCTATTGTCCTCTGTGAAAGAAAGCATATCTAAAAAATGCCTGGATACAAATTCCTCAAAGTACACTTATTCTGCTAATAAAAATGATACCTCATCCTTTTAAAATACATTCATGCTTAAGTACAAGATGTCATAAAATAAATACGTTAACAATCTGATATTGGGAAAATCCTAACATTCCCAGATCAGAGTTCCATAAAAACCAGATTCCAATACTTTTAATATTAAAACTTACAAGCTAACAAATACATGTGGCAATGTCTTCAATTCATTATCAAATTCTATTTTTTTCATATTTTAATAAGTAATCTTTATAGTGAACCTATCTTGTCATCTGCAATAGTTTGAGATACATTATCAGAAAATGCCAAGTTCAAATATAAACAGCTAACTTTTCATTTTTACTCTGCCAGGGAAATTGCAAAGTGCTAAAAAAAAATGCAAGCTGCTACTCGTCTTCTAAAAACAGAAATGAAATAATTAGATCACAATTGATGGTTCCTTTCTCAGAGGAGGGAAAAAAAGATGAATGCAACTGGAATGTTTATTGTCACTGAAATTCTTCAGGCCTGGATTCCAAGTATGGGTTTGATGCAGGTTACTATGACAACTTAAATTACAGAAAATGTCCCCCCTTCTTCTACGAAGTTTTTCTGCCAAAAGATCATTTGAGCCTCCTAAAATCTGTGTGCATGAATTACCTGTAACAACAATAAAAATCTCTTTACAAGTTTTATTCAGAAATGCCCCCATCTAAACCATTAAAACCAAGTATAAGCATATAAAAAATAAATTCCACTAAATCTACATGAGGCAGAAAACCTAACCTGAAAACTCAAATACACACACACACAGCTTGAAATATAAAACGTTGAGAGTATTTTGAAACTACTCCCCACTACCAGAAGCACAATATACTACCATCATAAGCTTCATTACAGAAACTATGGGAAATTACTCACAAGGCAGTTTTGAAAGAAGATTATAGGGCTAAGTCCTGTTTATCATTCTTTTCCCTCTATTAATGCCTTTTACAGGAAGGTACCAGAAAAGGGGGATGGGAGAAGAATACAGTCCTATTCCAAACAGAGAGAGAAGCAAATAAAATAAATAATCTGCAAAATCTTATATTGTCTTATGTAATCTGTTTTGTTTTTTTTTTTTTAACGTAAAATAGGAGGTTTAAACTTTGTTCTCACACAGCCTCAAATTTACAAACCAAGGAAAAGATGCCTTGTGATAAATAAAATGTGACTTAGTCACTATCATTCCCTAAAAGAATAATGGCTTAGGAAAAACTGCATCATTGCAGAGAAAATGTAATTTAGTAGAAATATTCTGATTGTAATACATTAAAAATTTAAAGCTGCTACATTAAAAAAAAAAGTTAAGGTGGTTTTACAGTGTAGCAATAGTGAGAATTCAAAGCTGGTTTTGTTGGTATCAAAGTCAACACAACTGAAATTAGAGGCTTCATTCAAAAAGGTTTAGGGAACTCACACATCCTCTTTCAATGAGTAAACTGGATCACTTCGGTAGTCAGCAAGAGCAAACCAGTTTTATGTACAGCTCTACCACATCCAAGAACCATTCATTTATTTAAAACAGACAAAACTCCGTTTAAAAAAGGAAGGCAAGGCAGTACGCTAAGGGAGTCTCTATGCACTTAAAGAATCAAAGGCTGTTAATTTTTAGCATATGAAACATTTGAGAAGAAATAGTCAAAAAATTAACTCTTTAGCAGCAAACTTAAAGCAACTCCTACATCTCCAAACTGTATGAGGGGTAATTAACAATGTTATAAAAGAAACAAAATAACTGAAACATTTAAACCCAAGTGTACACAATCTCTAAATATTAAATCTGAATCACAGTTTCTCTTGGTGTAACTTTTACATAAATCCTCCCAAATAGAAGATAACTAACATAAAGAAAAGAAAGGTTTACAGAATAGCTTTATCAGTGATAAAAGCTAAATCTAAAATTTAGGCGATGGCACAATTATGGAGAGACTGTAGTAAGTGGGACTACATAATACATTTTGTTCCTTATACTTTTCTTCTTTAGACTATATAACAAATAGCAGGGCTTAACTAGCATTATTCAGCTCTTACATGGATATAACAAAACCGCTCTATTAGAATCAGACTATCTTTAATTCAACACTTGGGGTCTTCTAGTCATGGATTTTGCTAATGCCATGAGCAATTCAACAGAGTCTACAGGAAGAAAACTGAACCAGTAAGGATAAGGACTTGGGGTTTTATGAATATATTTCCCTCCACATAGTTTAGCAATTACTACATGGCTCTAAGGTTATACTCTTTATTTCAGGGGGGAGTTAATTTATGTAAGACCTTCAAAAGTCATCACTGAAGCAAAAAATGCCAGCACATAACTTTTTTGCAAATGAGGGACTAAGGAATTTACGAGATGGCATGCTGGTCGGTGCCCTTAAAGAGCTTATTCACCTGTAAAATGTGAACAGTTTATTCACAAGTGATTCACATACTACAAACAAGATCAAATTATTTTCCCTTCTGAGACCAATGAGTCACTTTAATGTTCAAGAGAGGATACACATCAAGCATACAAAAAGCAAGTGAAAATTAATTTAGTTGTATATTCCTACCTCAAGAGACTTTGTGACCCCCTTTACTTCATGAAGCCAATTACACTACTTGCAGGACCGAAGCTCAAACTATAAGCTCTTCCAGACTTATAAAGACCTTCTAACCTTCACTGTTAGAAATATTTTTCTGCTTTAAAAGAGGCTGCTATCCATCAACTGATCTATCCAAAGACGATGTGGAGTGTGTGTGTGTGTATCTGAATATAAGAGAATATTATTCAGCCATAAAAAAGAATGAAATCTTGCCATTTGCAACGGTGCAGATGGAGCTAGTGAGTATAATGCTAAGTGAGTAAGTCAGAGAAAGATAAATACCATCTGATTTCACTCGTATGTGGAATTTAAGAAACAAAACAAGCAAAGGGAAAAAAACAAGAGAGAGAGAGAGAGAGAGAGAGAGACAAAGCAAGAAACAGACTCTAACTACAGAGAAAGAACTGATGGTTACCAAAGGGGAGAGGGGCGGAGATGGGTTGAGTAGGTGATAGGGATTAAGGAGTACTCTTGTTTTGAAGAGCATAGGGTGATGTATGGAAGTGCTGAATTACTCTATTGTACCCCAGAACTAATATAACACTGTATGCTAACAAGCTGGAATTAAAATAAAAACATAATCAATCAATCAATTAATAAAAAAAGAGGCTGCCAATTTAAAGCATGAGTAGAATAATGCTCAGGAAACCTAAGAGTGGTGACATACTAATTGGCAAAAATTTGCTTCAGACTTGAAACTTGAAATCTAAAGAGCATGTTTCATAATGCTATTAGTGTCAACCCAAATCTGAACCTAGGGCTTATATTATACTGGCAAAAGACACTATTGCTAATTAAACTTTATACTTATCTAAATATAGGGCTTACAAATGATGATTCTTGAGAGTTCATCAGTGAACATAACCTCCGAAAGTCTCCCCGAATTTTGAACAGTTGTTTTTAAAACGTCACTTTAAATGATACTCTTCTAGGATATATGCGAGGAGTACAACTTTGCAGACTCACCTTATGGCGCTGGAGTCCCCAAGTGGGAGGAGTGCTGAGGTAGTCTTGAGGAAGAGGAGAGCACCAGACAGGTATTCTAGGAAGAGGTACACAGGCACCTGAAAAGGTACACAGTGTTCTTACAGTCCCGGCTAATTTTTATCTTAAAAATGCTAAATCACCCATTTTAACTCATAAACATCAAAGACCAAATAAATAAGCTTTAGCTTCAAAAGTTTTCCCAAGAAGAATTTTTCATCCCCTCTCTGACCTTCTCCCTTACTCCTCTGGACTACAATACTTGGGGGGTGAGTTTGTTTTCTGTTTAGTTTCAATTAGCATTTTTCCACCACTGAAAAGAGAATCTCGGTTGTTTCTGAAAAAGGTCATTTGACGGGCCCATGGTGCTCTAGGAAAGACTGTGTGCTGCCTTTTTCTCCTGACCAAAGCTTCCGGTAATACCACAATAATTTCTTGAAAGCAGTTTAGCAATTAGACATTTGGAAAACTGCCTAAAGCCAGGGCCAAAAAGTGACGTTGAAGGAGACATCTCAGGTTTTCAGTCTTCAAAAATAAAAACAAAAATATGCCACATTTTTCTTTGGTGAGTATAAATTATTACCACTAGCTAACCCAAGAAAGAGAGTAACTTGGCATCAGTTCTTTTGACCATTCTATTGCCTAATGCTGTGAGAATGTGAAACTCTGCCATTAGTCATAAAGAAAGCCTAAGAAAGACATCTTGGCCACAAGGCGGGAATTGACGCAATTCAGATATCTGCCACATTCAGACTATGCCCTTAACAGATGTTTCTGCATTTATTTATAGAAAGGTTTACTTTAGTAACAAGACCATCTTCTATCAACTATTTTTTTGCACACACAGACACTAAACTACTTTTATTATGAATAGAAAGTTACAGAAAGTTAAAGAAAGTTACAATCCTCAACATCTTAGCTTTGAAATAATAAAAAATATCAAATTAGAAATAGTGTAGAGAGAAAGAACCCAAATGTGATGCAAGCTATCAGAAAATATCTAAATTTCAAACACAGCTGAGGATGGGGTAAGTTACTCCAAAATTTCCCTTCCAGAGCTGGGCTCTCTCTGCAAGGCTACTATAATCCTGAATGGAGACATTGTCGCTCAGTCTGATTATTAGACTAACATTTCACGTAACGTAATAGGTGTATAAAACTACTATTTCTGGATTATTTTTTACATAGTGTTATGGCTGCAGTGCAAAGGTGCATTAGCACATGCTCCCAAGTTTTAAAAGAAAAAGAGGGCAGCACTCACATTAACATTCTTTCTCATGAAAACAAATAAGCTTTAAGTGAACTAGGTACCACAGCATTCCTGTTTTATCATTTTATGTCAGATGGGTTAGAGCCTTCTGGCTTCAACTAGACCTACCTATCTCCTAAAGAAGCTAAAGAAAGACACATATTTGAGGCTTATGTATCTTGGTAAAAGAGCCTGTCCATTGAGCATGTCATCCAAAAAGCAATGAAGAGGGGGCGCCTGGGTGGCTCAGTGGGTTAAAGCCTCTGTCTTCAGCTCAGGTCATGATCCCATGGTCGTGGGATCGAGCCCCGCATCAGGCTCTCTGCTCAGCGGGGAGCCTATTTCCTCCTCTCTCTCTGCCTGCCTATCTGCCTACTTGTGATCTCTCTCTGTCAGATAAGTCTTAAAAAAAAAAAAAAAAAAAAAAAAAGCAATGAAGAGTCAGCCCCACTCAGGGAGAGTTTTGGAAGATGAATTTAAAACCACTGAGAAAGGCTATATAGACTAAGCACCCTAATTCCCACCCTTGGGCCGAGAAGCCACCTGGAATCCAGCTCTCTCTGACAAACAGATTCTTAATTATCTAAATCAAAAATCTCATTTTTTATCTGTCTTTTCTTCTTTACAGCCTCATCTTTCTTTTCAGTTTTGTTTTAAAAAAAAAAAATCTTTTGAACGTGGGAAGTGGGCAGTTGATAAGGAGTGTCTAAAATTGACAGAACCATTATCTTCTTATCCATAAAATAAGGTTATTAATACTAGAGCCAGACATTTAAAGGCCAAGATTATTGTGCCTATTTTCTCATGCATAATTTGAAATGATACTTACATTTATGCTAACATTAAAATCTCTCCTTTTTAGATTTTTATAATTACAAAATTCTGGATAAGTCAAGGTTCTCTGGAATACGATGGGAAGTGTTCTAGTCTTGTCAGTCCTGGGAACATGCTTTGGATGCCTGTGGGAAATGCCAGAACAGACAAGAAGCAAAGGTCTCAGGCTCTTGTATTCTTGTACTCACCTCTCTAGCCTCCTGTGAGGCTTCAGACCTCTCCCTACTGATTACTATAACCATCCTAACTATTCAACCTACTGCCCAAAACACTTAAAAAAACAATATACACACAAAAAAAGAGCAAATCCTATCATTCTATGGTTTTTAAAAGAAAAAAAAAGTCAAAACTTCTTTTGTTTTGCCTGTAACTGTAGTGACAATATTTTCTTAACCATAAATATGGATATAAGATCTAGCAGTTGTGAGGGTGGTCATGAAGACAGTAAGAAATTTGTGATTTAAACTGAGATCATCTCAGAAAATTTACAAGGTCCTGGGGCTCCACCTGAGACTCTTCACCATCCTTGCATGCCACTGTCTAAACTTCTTTCTCGTCATTCCCTTGAAGCTACCACATGACATGCCCCAGCCTCAACCCCACTGCTCAGCTCCTCAGCCTCTAGCGCTACTTCATGCTGGCATCTCATGCCCAGGTTCCACCAACTTTCTGTACTGACCAAACTCCAACTTACCCTTCAAGAGATGACTCAAATGTCTCACATTCCCTGGAAACCTTCCCTCATCCAAACTGATTCATCCCAGGAAATCTCAAGTGGCTGGCTAATAGTACTCTTGGGTACTGTTTCCTAAATCCCCACAACCCTACGAGGAAGGTAAGCTATAAAAAGGGAATAATCAGAATAAAGACTAGAAAGGTAAAATAAATGGTCGAACATCATATAGCTAATAAATAAAGGAGCCAGAAATTGAACTAAGGCAAACGGACTTCAGAGCTCAGGTTCTTCAACAACTGACCTCATCATCTTCAGTACGTACCCCTGTTGTAATACTTGGTATAATTACAATGAAATATTTGCCCTTCATTGAGGACAGACACACTTTGCACTGCTATCTATATGCAAATGAAATGGACCAATAACCAATGTATGTTAACATGTGCAATTTGGGATAAAAGATGTAAAAATGAAAAATCTCTATACTCTAATAATTACATTACTTTTGATAAAATTAAAATTTAGGTTATCTGAACATTCACTGGACACTTGCACATATTAGATTAGACATTCTAGTTTGGTAGCTAGCCTCCAAGATAGCCCCCAAAGATCCTTAACTCCTGGTCTTTGTACCCTAGTGTATTCTCCTCCCACTATGAGCACAGTTAACTTGTACAGCCAGCAGGATTATCAGGGAAATGATGTGTGACTTCCAGGCTAAGTCATAAAAGACAATGCAGCTTCTATCCTGCTCTCTGATCATTTGCTCACATTACAGATGGTCAATCGGCCCTATGGAGAGGTCCACCTGGTAAGAAACAGGCCTCCTGCCAATAACCAGTTCAAATTTGCCAGGCATGTGAGCAAACTACCTTGGAAGTGGATTTTTCAGTCCTAGTCAAGCCTTCACAGAGACTATTTACAACATGGGATGATATGTGGACTTCAAAAAAAATTTTTTTAAAGATTTTATTTATTTATTTGTCAGAGACAGAGGGAGAGAGAGTGAGCGAGCACAGGCAGACAGAGTGGCAGGCAGAGGCAGAGGGAGAAGCAGGATCCCCGCCGAGCAAGGAGCCCGATGTGGGACCCAATCCCAGGACGCTGGGATCATGACGTGAGCCAAAGGCAGCCGCTTAACCAACTGAGCAACCCAGGCGTCCCTGGACTTCAATTTTATGTAAGATTCTGAGCAACAGCCACCCACCTAGGACATTCCTGGATTCCTGATCCAAAGAAATTAGGTGAGATAAAACAAAACAAAACATGTATTGTTTTAAGTCCCTAGGTTCAGGGTAATTTGTTAAATAACTAATATATATCTATTGCCACATACACAGCCTTTATTTAAATCAGTTTATAAGAATGCAAATAGAAGCTATTGACACAAATGAACACAGTATTGGGTTATTGCAATTCAAATTGGGTTATTGCAAATATACACGGAACCAAACCAAAATTCCTATACACGGAACCAAAAGAGTTCTTAGCTCTTTAAGAACTAAAGAGCAGGGCGCCTGGGTGGCTCAGTGGGTGAAGCTGCTGCCTTTGGCTCAGGTCATGATCTCAGGGTCCTGGGATCGAGTCCCACGTCAGGATCTCTGCTCAGCAAGGAGCCTGCTTCCCTCTCTCTCTCTCTCTCTGCCTGCCTCTCCATCTACTTGTGATCTCTCTCTGTCAAATAAATAAATAATTAAAATCTTAAAAAAAAAAAAAAGAACTAAAGAGCAAAATAAATTCCAGTTTTCAAGAGATATTGCCTTTTTCCTTTCTTTCCTTTCCTTTTTTTTTTTTTTTTTTAAATAAACGAAATAAAGCATGCAAGCCCTTCATTTGCTTGTAGGTATCTCTTCCTGACTGCTGATTAATTCTTTGGTATATTCCCTTTCTCTAAACTAGGCCCACAAGCTGGATAATCAATGGACAACAGTGGCATTTTTATTACCATAGAAATCAGAAAAGAGCTTATTGCTCTAGTTATTCAAGTCTTATAGGTCATATAAGAAAAAGTCTAAAGGTTTGGAGGAATTACTCTTTCCTCTGTGACTTCAAGATGCCTGAAAAGTTAAAAGAGCACATTTCTTTTTTATGAGAAAGAGAAAATCCCTCTAAATATTCAACTATAAATAAACATTCAACTATAAATAGAATGCAACAGCACATTTTCATAAGTGATAACTCTTTGTATACACAAAATAAATTAAGACCATAAATATTATGCAAATTTGAAATTCTCCTGAATTTTTAGTTTTTCTAATAAAAGGTAGGAACATTCAAAGTTTTTTTTTTTTGACACCAAAACTCACAGCCATCCTACATCT